CACAGCCATCAGAAAATAGTCTGACCTCTCAGTGAACATGCTGCATACTTTGTGCAACTGGCTCTTCCATTAAATTGATATAACTTTTTTAGAAAACACATTCCTCCATGGAATCTAATATTTGTACTAAAATCTAAAATCTAATATTTGTACTCATTTTTCTAGTGTTCTCTCTCCAAAAACAATACCAAGAAAGAAAGAAAAAGGGAAAAACCTCTTTCCTCATTGTTGTCCATCTAATACAGAGCATAAGTTAATGTCCTAAGTCTTCTCTTCTTTAGTTCCTTCAACCACTTCTTATGGAGCATGGTTTCTAGACACCTCCTATACCCTTTCGGGCATACAAAGCACCTATAACAGGATGTCAAGTTCCAGGGTGGTAGTATGATTTTAAAAAGTAAAAAAGTAAACTTTTTTTTTTACTATGATCTCCCTAGGTCAAGATTAATTAACTAAAAACTAAATTCATTTTCTGGTTTCCTTTGCACAGGAGAATAAAAAGTAGGTCTCCTAAATCATACTTAAGCAGCAATCTGCAAATTTACTATAAATTAGTGAATCCCTAAAAACAATTCTATTTCATTGAGATGAAATCACACACTATAGACTATACTGCAAATTCCAAGAGAGGACAAAAATAGAAATTGCAATTCTCTTATTTCCACAAAAATACATGCTGTCAGATATTTTTAAATGTTTTTTATTAGTCATTAAATCATATTACATAATACTCCACTACGTTGCAGGTAAGCAAACTCACCAACTGTAAAAGAAGTGAATTTCCCATACTCATTTATATACCTACTTATACGACAAAGATTTGACAGGTGAGTAGTTTAAATTTCTATAAACCACATATGCATGGATTTTGCTTCTCAAAATGATTCTAACTCCCTAGAAGGAACATTATCTATTTTGGATTTGATTTAATTTTCTCAGGGCCCTCTGCACTTTAACACCTTCCACTTCTAAAATAAGAAAGATTAAATTGATCTGGCATTGAGTACCGATTTATCCCCATTACTCTCAATAATCATTCACAATTCATCTCTATGTTAAAACATAATTATCAAAAAGAAAATGTAAACAAATACTCCAAGAAATACTTCCAATTTTTAAGATCAGCTTTTAAATAACAATGGAACAATCAGTAACCTCATGAAAAAGTTTACTTAAATGCAAATAATAGCTTTATCATGCTACAGATTAAGGTACAACTTAAAATTTCATAAATGTTAAAAGTCAACAGTTTCCAAATGAGAACAAGTGACAAAATAAAGGTTTACACAGCATTAAGCTTTTCTTTTTGCATTTCTAAATCTGAAATTCTCTTGATCCCTAAATAATCATAAAAATCAAATTCCAAAAAGAAAAAACACAGAAGGCGAAAAACATTAAAGTCACTTGCCACCCTCTAACATTAAACAGAATATACTCTGATTACACAAAATTTCAACAAATGTACTTTAAAATAATTATTTTTAAAATAAGCTTCTAACATATAGAATTATTATAAGACAATTATTATATGACAATATGTGGTTAAAGGCTGGGTAGAATAAAAAATATAAATCATCCAAAGTCTTATTAGCTCTGCAGCTCCATCAAGCTCACAGCTGGATTTTCATTCTTCATCAAGCAAATACACACTAAAAGCTTCCCTTATTCCCAATCTAAAAAAAGAAAATGAAAAAGCCTTCCCTGTTAAAACACATATTGTTCTACCTCTCCAACCACTGATATTTGAAAGTTCAGCAACAAAAGAAGTGTGAGACATAAAAACAGCTGGGTATTTATTTTAAAAACAATCTTCTTAAAGGTCTCTATAATAATGAACCATACATAGCAAGCAATTCTAAGCAAAAGTGTTTTCACATTTGACAGGATTCTAGACCGAGATCTCTATGGTCCAATCAGATCAAATATTTAGAATGGACCTAAATCCCTAGCCTCAAACTGAAATGGGGAAATGGTTTAATTACTGTAAATCCTATTAAACCAATCTTCTTTTGAAAGTAGAAGATGTCTGACCTCTGAGGGCTATGGAGGGTATAATGAATGCAGAGTTTAATTAGGCCCTACTGCTGACTGACTATAATCTATTAATTAGCATTCTAAGTCTCTGTATCTCATTGCAGTGTTTCACTTTACTTTAAAATTGCACCCTTCATTTTTTTGGACCAAAGTTATACAATTTTAGGATTGTGTAGTAATTATAGTGGGTGCAGGAAGAATATATTCCTGCCAGCATTGGTGTTTAATTAGGGCAAGGGGTGGAATCTAGATAAGGCAGTCTTCATCCTTCTTTAGCACATATGGTTTTTTTGGCATGAAAATCTGGTGGACTGTTTCACTTGCACTGAACTGAAATACCCACTATTGTCTTTTCAAAAGACTCAAATATTTTGCCATTGAACGTAGCTTGATAATTAGAAAGGACATTGCAATGGAGTTTTTTCCCACATAGCTTCCAAAGTATAGGCAACAACAATTGCCCCAACCATTTCAAAATAAATGAGTATACTAATAACTTTTAGTCTCATTAAAATGAACATTTCCAAGTCATTTGGCAATGAAACCACCTTAGTGATGGGCATATATTCAACATCTTTATCAAGGTATATTGGTGGCTAGCTAATTCTGTGATAGAGCCAGTAAACTCAAATCCACTTTAAGTCTTACATATAATTTTATATATTACATATACATACATATATGTGTGTGTGTGCATATATATATAGTCAATCTATTCTTGAAAGGTAGCACTTCTAAAGGGAGGTGTTCATTCACGGGCAATTTTCCCATAATATTTCTTATAAGAAGTTATGTCTCAGCTAAATGAAAGTAAACTGTGATTTTCATTAATAATACATTTATATAACATTTAAATATGATGCACTATGATGCTTAATTATCTAAATAAATAAATAAGGAACCTCATATTCAGACACTGATATGCCACCAGTGCATACACTAAATCTCTAAATTTACCAATCTCATTTTTACCAAAAAAACAATTAAAAAAAAAAATGAATCCTCGCCCTAGGACTATACATACAGTTTCTAAGACTTAGGCCACATTAGTACTTTATCACAAGACTAAAGAAAGCAAATTTGTTTTTTCTCCCACAATTCAACATCAAACTACAAACACTGGAAATGTACTATTATTTTACAATAAGGAATGATATACTTTTGGTGTTGTCTTTCACTTTCCAACAACTTAAATGTCAACTGAAGAAAAAGTATTTACCTGTTCTAGTGTCATATATCATTTAGACATTCATCTTAGGCATCAATAATTTACAAGGTGAGGAGACATCAAAAGCACCTGGGGGGGCTCTATTTTAAGTAAACATGTCTGAGATTTTAAACATTCTTTTCCCCATCCACTGAGGGTCCCTATCCCAGTTAATGACCCCTACAAAGAGGAGTGTCACATCCCTAAGATGTAACAAGACAGAAAAAAGGATAAGAAACAATGAACAAATTATCCCTTGTTTCTTTTCTACTACAAAAGTGCCATTTCAGAACTATCATAAAGTCTCTACTGCAGACAAACAACAGATAAGTTTAAGTTAGATGTAGTAATTCTAAACACCTCAATACTTATTTATTATCAGAACCACCATAGAAATCTGTTCAAAATATAAGTTCCTGGACACCATCTCCAGAGATTTTTATTTGGTTGGTATGAAGTAAGGCCTTGGAATCTATTAACAAATATCCCTGTTGATATTGATGTACCTGAGCCAGCATTTAGCAAGGAAAACTGTCCTTACTTTTAGGATCACTGGGGATGATTTTAGTTGTTTTTTTGTTTTTTTTTTGAGACAGAGTCTCACTTTGTCACCCTTGGTACAGTGCCATGGCATCATAGCTCACAGCGATTTCAAACTCTTGGACTCACGCAATTCTCTTGCCTCACCCTCCTGAGTAACTGGGTCTACAAGCATCTACCACCTGGCTATTTTTAGAGATGGGGTCTCACTCTTGCTCAGGTCGGTCTCAAACAGGTGAGCTCAGGCAATCCAACCACCTTGGCCTCCCAGAGTACTAGGATTACAGGCGTGAGCCACCGTGTCCAGCCTCTATTTTAGTTCTTTTCTTTTTTTATACATTTTTAAAGTCTTAATGACTCAAACTCAAAAAACTTCTTAAAAGACATTTCTTTAAAGAACATTTCTCTTCTTTAAAAAGGCCAAGGCCTCTAAGAAAGTTAGAGATTTACATATTAAAACATTGAAATCCTGAGTAGTGATAAACTACTAGTTAAAAAATAAAAACAAAGTATAAGAGAACCTCCATAGTTGACCACTTCCCTACGCTGACCACCTCTTTAAGCTGACCTAATTTCATGGACTGGACATGCACCACATGCAATAAAGCCTAGTTCCTTATGGTGACCACCTCCGTATATTGACCAATTTACCTCTGGGTAGTCAATTTACAAAGGTTCCACTGTAGTTTGAGGTTATAATCTACCTAAGAAAGAGTACAACTATAATTTTTAATTGCTTCAAAATCTGATTCAAATGAATTCATGGTTTAGTTTTAAAATGGCATTGTAACATCAAGTAAATTCAAAGATTTTTAACTCTGTGATTTTAGTTAAATTAACTAGAATAAACACAATGAAATACTATGTAGGAATTAAAAATAATGATTTAGATAATATATTATGGAGCTTTAATACACAGTAGAAATGTTGCTGACTAAAATTTATTGTGTGTGTATACACATAAAGATACATCAAGGAGAAACACCAAAACACTAACAGTGGAATAACGAAGTTATCAGTAGATGGGAGGATCTGAGGTAAACTTTGCTTTCCTATCCATGGTTATCATTATATTTATGAACAGGAAAAAAAATACTAAAATAGGAAAAAGGAAAATAAATTAACTAAGAAGGATTCCTAAAAATCTACAGAAAAAAATGGCTCAGTTCATTTATGTCATGAATTCAGTGAATAAAGGTAAACACACATATAAACCAACCTGGTTTTCTTCCTGCACAACTCTATACTGTTCCTTCCAAATGGTGATTTTGGAAGCTTCGTCTTTTCTCAGAGCCCGTTCTTTCTTCAGCTCTGGGCTCCAGAAGGTCTTGATGCTATTCATTGAAGAACTCAATTTGCTCTCCTTCACTTCCACATCCTTCCGCAGGAGATCATTTTCCCTTAAGACTTCCTTCAGCTGTGTTTGTAAATCCATGATTGTGTTATCTCTTGCCTGACGAAGAGAATGAGGTACAGTGGATGCCATACTCACAGGAGGGAGATGATGCTCTCCAAATGCTATGGTGTCACTAGCAACGCCACTGCTAGCTATATTGGGGCTACTGCCCATAGCAGTCATCCTAACACCATAAGGCAGACGTCCCCCAGATCGGCCAAGTGTCATGGTACTCTTAGGTGTTTCGGAACCCACATTTTCATGGTCACTTAGGTACATAGGGCCAGATGTGGCATAGGCAGCATTTAGGGATTGTATATTTTCCATCGAAAGGGTTTTCCCACTGCCACCTCCAGCACTGCTTCCAGAACTCCCTCCTGTACTATTGGTTCGACGATGACCCAAGCGAGGGGAACGTGGAAGCCTAGGTGAACGGCCAGGGCTCTGGTTGCTCGGTTCCACCTTCCCTACAGAGCGAGCACTTCCATACATTGTTGCAAGGTGAACTTAGGTGCCAATAAAGGTGTAAAGCAGAAAACAAAAGATGGAACTTCGTGAGGTTTCTCTACGGCTATAAGTCAGCTTCAGGTTAATCAGAAATAACAGGTTCCCAGCTGTCCAATCTTGAAGAAATATCTTATACCATATCTGTAATAAAAAGACCACACATTAAATCCTTTGACAGTAAATATTTCCCTTCTCAAAAACCTTCCTTTACCTCTCACCTGAAGAAGATTCCCACCTTCTATCATCTATTTACTCAGAAATTCAAAACTTTACTCAAAAATTCAAAACACTCGCTTAGCGACCATAGCACAGTGGTTATGGCAACAGCCTCATACATCGAGGGTGGCAGGTTCAAACCCAGCCCACGCCAGATAGACAGCAATGACAGCTGTAACAAAAAATAGCCGAGCATTGTGGCAGGCGCCTGCAGTCCCAGGTACTTGGGAGACCAAGGCAAGAGAATCGCTTACGCCCAAGAGTTTGAGGTTGCTGTGTGCTGTGACGGAACAGCACTCTACCAAGGGGGACATAGTGAGACTCTGTCTCAAAAAAAAAAAAAATTCAAAACACCATTTTAAAGATATTGTACATATCTCAAAACTGAATGCTGAAAACATACCCTGCAAACCAAAGAAAGAAAAAAGACATATAAAAATTAACAAAGAAGAGATAAAACTCAGTGTTTGAATAATGTGAAAACCCAGTATTATCAACAAGTTACTAGAACTAATAATAAAACTCAACAAATTAGTCAGACATAAGATCAATATATAAGTACATTTACTTTCATGTATATTGATAATAACAATTGGAAAATGCAGTTTTATGGCTGGGTACAGTGGCTCATGAATGTAATCCTAGCACTGTGGGGAGGTAGAGGTAGGGGGACTGCTTGAGCTCAGCAGTTTGAGACAAGCCTGAGCCAGAGTGAGACCCCATCTCTACTAAAAGTAGAAAAATTAGCCAGACATTGTAGCCGGTGCCTGTAGTCTCAGCTACTCAGGAGGCTCAAACAGGAGAATGACTGGAGCCCAGGAAGGTTGCTGTGAGCTAGCCTGATGCCACAGCCCTCTGGGCACCAGAGCAAAACTCTGTCTCAAAAAAGAAAAAGAGGCTTGGTGCCTGTGGCTCAAGTGTCTAAGGCGCCAGCCACATACACCTGAAGTGGTGGATTCGAATCCAGCCCGGGCCTGCCAAACAACAATGATGGCTGCAACCAAGAAATAGCCAGGTGTTGTGGCAGGCACCTGTAGTCCCAGCTACTTGGGAGGCTGAGGCAGGAGACTCGCTTGAGCCCAGGAGTTGGAGGTTGCTGTGAGCTGTGATGCCATGACACTCTACCCAGGGGGACAGCTTGAGGCTCTGTCTCAAAAATAAATAAATAAATAATAAATTCCACGTGCACTAAAGACATTAATTTTGAGGGCTGGGTGAGGTGACTCACACCTGTAATCCTAGTAGTACTCTGAGGCCAAGGCAGTTGGATTGCTTGAGCCCAGGAGCTGGAGGTTGCTGTGAGCTGTGATGCCACAACACTCTACCCAGGGTGATAGCTTGAGACTGTCTCAAAAAAAAAAAAATTAGCTGGGCATGATGGCACATGCCTGTGGCCCTAGCTACTCAGGAGGCTAAGGCAAGAGGATCACTTGAGCCCAAGAGTATGAGGTTGCTGTGAGCTATGATGACAGCAGGGCAACAGAATGAGACTGTCCCAAACATATATATATATATTAATTTGTAAATTATTAAAAGCATTAGAAGAAAATTCAGGATATCTTTGTGAATATGAATTAGGGTAAGGCTTCTTAAAGAAGAAACAGAAAGCACAAAGAAGAACAACTGATACACTGAATTCTATTAAAATAATACAATATTTCTTTGCGCACAATGCAATGCTACATTTCAAAACTATTAAGATGTAGAGTATAAATGTCTTACCACAACAAATAAGTGAGATGATGGTTATATTAATCAGTTTGATGTAAGCATTCCACATTATATATCAAATCAGCACATTGTATTCCATAAATGTACACAGTTATGATTAAATAAAAATAACACAATATTATACCAAAAATGCCATAAACAAAATTAAAAGATAAACCAAAAACTAGGTGAAAAATATATTCAACATACGTATAAAGATCTGTAAACATAATATATAAAGAATTCCTGGGTGGTGCCTGTGGCTCAAGGAGTAGGGTGCCAGCCCCGTATACCTGGGGTGGTGGGTTCAAGCCCAGCCCTGGCCAAAACTATAGAATAAATAAATTAAATTAAATTAAATAATAAATAAAAATTAAAAAAAAAAAGAATTGCCATATAGAATATGCCAAATTTGAAACAGCAAGAGGGAAGGAAAGTTATATTTCAAGAGGAGGTCAGGAGAAAAATGTGGAGGCTGTAGCTTCAGTTATAAAGCTTTATACTCAAATTACCATAAAGCTCGCATTTTTACAAAGGAAAATTCATATTCTACAATTTTTAAAAGATTATTAAATGCAGGTAATCATCCCTTAGTATCCACTGAGGATTGGTTCCAGGACCTCTATGGATACCAAAATCTTTGAATGCTCAAGTCCCTTACATGAAATGTTATATTAATTGCATGCAACCTCACACATCCTCCAGTATACTTTAAATGATCTCTAAATTACTTCTAACACCTAATATAATATAAATGCTAAGTAAATTCTTGTTACACTGTATTGGTTTTTAATTTGTATTATTTTTTGTTGTATTGCTATTTTTTATTGGGGTTTTTTCCCTGAATATTTTCAATCCACATTGGTTGGATCTGTAAATGCAGAACCCACAGATTTGTAGAGCTGACCACACTCTACATCCATCCACTTCTCTCAAAGATAAATCAATATAGATCTAACCTAGATCTGTGATTTCCTGACTTTCTTTCAAAGAATTATCTCAGATCAAGTAAGATGTAAGGCTTAAGTATACATAATAATATTTTATAAAAATCCATTGTTACAGAATTATTATAAGCACTTCTTCATATGGTCAAAAATAAGATTTTTAAAGACGCTACATATTCTAGTCAAACTCAAACTAGTCAAAATTCCTCAAAAATGTGAACACAGGCAGTCTCATCTCTATATTGGTGAGCCAGTAAAGATAGCCCTAGGCTAACCACAAATAGGACAGGAAATACACAGAGCCTAAATCCTGAAGGGAAAGGCTCCAACTCTCCCTCAAGCTCAGAAAATAGCAATGGTATACAAAGCTCAGAAATTGCAATATTGCTAGCAAAGTTAGGAAATTCTTTCCCAAAACTAACCCAGTTCACAAAGTAAAAATTCCTTTTCATGAATAATCTAAACTTTAAGATAAGTGACAAGTGATAATCTATAAATTGCTATTTAAAACGAATTCCATCAGCTCAGCTCCTGTGGCTCAAGTGGCTAAGGCACCAGCCACATACACCTAAGGTGGCGGGTTCGAATCCAGCCCGGGCCGGTCAAAACAACAATGATGGCTGCAACCAAAAAATAGTTGGCGCTATGGTAGCCACCTGTGGTCCCAGCTACTTGGGAGGCTGAGGCAGGAGACTAGCTTGAGCCCAGGAGTTGGAGGTTGCTGTGAGCTGTGATGTCACGGCACTCTACCCAGGAGGATAGCTTGAAGCTCTGTCTCAAAGTAAATAAATAAATAAATAAATAAAAAATAAAATGAATTCCATTTCAAGATCAAAGAGGGATGCAAAGCGTTTTTGTTTTTTAACTAATGTGAATATTGCTTAAAATAAGCACGCCATTCATTATCTGGATTCTTTGAATGATAACAAAAGCTAACATTTAGTGAGTGTGTATTTACCATATGCCAGGTACTTATGAGCTTTATAAGATTTAATATAATTTATGTTATTATATTAAATTTTAATATTCATTTAAAATTTAACATTTCCTGTCAATAAGCAACACAGTGACTGTGATGACTGCCTCCACTTTACAGATGAACAAAGTTGAGGCTTATAGAGGCTAAGGGACTTATCTAAAGCCACACAAGTGGTAAAGTCAAATTTTGAATTAAGGAAGCCTAATTCCATAACCTTGGAGGCTCTTAATTAATTTAACCACCTTTAACCACCATCATCTGCTGATGTTAGCGCCTCAAATGTCTATAAGATATTAAAAGGCTTTCACAGTTTTCCGACAGTGGGTCATATTAATCTAGTACTCTAAATCTAAACTTTACATTACATCTTGAGTTTTCAAAGGTGTAAACTTAAGTAATCACATTTATCTTTCCATTAAATTAAAGAAAGTCTTTTTTAAACTATAAGCAAAAGAGTGAAGTAAAACAACAAAGTAAGTGATCATTCAGAAATAAGTCTCAGGAATCATGCCATTAGAACTTTCAACTGCCACTTCAAAAGAAAAAATTTCCAACTGTGCTTTTCTGCAGAACTCTATTTTCATATAGTGAAGTGACTAAATCACACTAACGAGGCTAAGATAAAACAAGAAAAATTCACATCAAGTTTTCAACATTAGCAGGTGTGCTGTCAAGTCATTTTCAGACCCCAAACGGCATTTGCAACTGGAATCTTCGTTAGGACTATATTCACTTACATGACAATGGAAAGAATTTACTACCTCTATCTGAAGCCCTCATATTAGCTTTTTCATCTCATGAGTTTCAGAAAGACAATGTTTTTAAAAACACAAATTTATTTTTAAAAATATGGCAGACAGCCAGAAAACAATAATCCTTGCACTTTTGTTTTTCTTTTTTTGAAAGACTCGCACTCCCTGCCCTGGTTAGAATGCCATCACCTCATAGCTCACAGCAATCTCAAACTCTTGGGCTCAAGTGATACTCTTCTCTCAGCCTCCTGTGTAGCTAGGACTACAAGTGCCCAGCACAATGCTCAGCTAGTTTTTTTATTTTTAGTAGAGAGGGGGTCTCACTCTTGCTCATGCTGGTCTTCAACTTGTGAGCTCAAGTAATCCACCCACCTCAGCCTCCCAGAGTGCTAGGATTACAGGTGGGAGCCATGGAGCCAGCCTAATTCTTGTACTTTTATACAATTTGACAAAAAATAAAACTTTTGATATCCCCCCCAAAATAAAATAAAAGCCATACAATATGACTCCATTTATATAAAATTCTAAAACTAAGCC